ACCAGGCTCAAATTGTGGCAGGCAGCTAGCTGTGGCACTTCCGCTGGCAGCCTCAGCTGCCACTGACTTGCCACGGCCGCTACCACAGCTGTCAGTCATGCCACAGGACCTGCCAGAGATGTGTGTGGCAACTGCCGCTATTTGTTGCCTCTGCAAGGGAGATATGATAATGAATGTCAAAAGTTGTCAATGTTGAATACACTCGCTAGAAGTAGCATTTCAATGATGTGATTTTTGTAATATTTTGAAATGTTCCCTTGATAAGAACTATTTGGTGTTCATCAATATTTTCAAGCAAAACACTGATACCATTAAATGTCATCTTAAAAATCCACACATATTGCTTATATCATCTGTGCCACTCCAGCTGGCAGGCTCAGGTGACACTGACCTGCCACGGCAGCTGGCGTTGTTTCTGGCTGCTACCACAGCTTCCATTCATGCTGCGGGACCTGCCACTGGTTTGTGGACTGCAGCGATTTGAAGCATTTGCTTGTGAGATGCGGACATTTATAGTTCAGTGGTGTTCAGTTATCCAATGTTATTATTTAAATCCAGACAGAAACTTCACCTGTGAGACTAAGCAAAGCCCTTGCCGCGTGAAGTAGATCTAATTAATGGTTGTCGAGATAATCAAAGGACAGTCAGACAAACAGACAGAGTCCTTCCTTTATAGCTAGATAGTATGAGTTCTTGTAATTGAAATATAATTTATTCTCAGTTTAAAGCATAATCACATAAGAGGATCTATATTGATGCAATGCCATTTAGTTTTTCAATCCTAACATTCTTTTTTTTCAGACCAAGATCAGCAGAACACTAGCAGGTCTAGGGCCACAGCCTGCAGCACCATCCACAGGCACATCAGCTGCAGCACCATCTACAGGTACATAAGCTGCAGCACCATCTACAGGTACATAAGCTGCAGCACCATCTACAGGTACATAAGCTGCAGCACCATCTACAGGTACATAAGCTGTAGTGTGTAAAATTGCAGGGCGTGAGATTCTATGGCCTTGAAGTTTATAGGAGGAGTATAATACATCTATGATGAAAAGAAAGCTTTATTTATGTGTTACAAGACAGCAAAAGCCAGACTGCAGGTGAAGAAATTGGTTGTCATCAGTAACTGCAATCATACTTTCCAATAGCATATAAACCATTTCTAGTTTTATTTACTTATCATAAAGTAGATGTGGGCCAACTAATAACTCTTAACCTAACGTGGAGATGCCTATCAGCTTTATATTCCTGGGGGTCGACATCAGTGATGACATCACCCACTTGGTGAAGAATGCACAAAAGCAGCAGTTCTTTTTAAATAGACTGAGGAAATATCGTATCAACATATCACTGAGGATTCTCAGCAGCTTCTACAGTTGCATCAAAGAAAGAATCTTGTCCTGCTACATCACTATGTGGTACGGGAATCGCACCGCCATGGACAAAACGCCTGCAGAACGTGGTAAAGACTGCTGAGAAAATAGTCAGAGTGCCACTACCATTACTGCAGGGTGTCTACCACCAAAGAGTCCGTAGAAGAGACTGCAATATTATCGTAGACCCCACCAACCCTCAACACAGGTTTTTCACACTTATGCCAGGACAGCTTGTATAGGATATCAGACTGATTACTGCAAACCGATAATGAACAGATCAAGAAGCTTCACATTTTCCTCATGGCATGGTTCCTCATTGGAGACGGTTGATACCCCTGCATTCAAGATCCCATCACCCTCATCACACCATATGATGAGCCAGTGCAGAGCCCTGTACAACGCAGGTTCGATGGCAAGCTCTTCAGAGCCAAGGTGGTTGTAGAGCCTTGAGCAGGCCTTTGGGGTGATGAAACCAGGTGGCGGACCATCTTCCTCAAGGCAATGGAAGTGAAAATTCCATTTGCTGTGGAGGTGATAACCTGATGTGCTGCAGTACAGAGGACCTGGAAGGCCCTTCTGATGATCAGGACGCGGATGAGGCTGACTCTGATGCTCCTGCGTATCCTCAGGTGGCTGATGGCCTTCGGGATCGGCTCCCAGCTGCAGTCTCAGCACCTGTAGTCTCATCCCTGGTGGTGGTCTTGTGCGTCTTCTGGCAGGTATATAACTGTTGTATAAATAAGTTATCCCTTACATTTTAAGGATTATAGAATGAGATAAAATGTTCAATACAAAAATTAAACAAATGAGTGGCACTCAAATCCAAATAATAAACTCTAATGATAATAAAATGATAAACATGCTGTATGTATACAGACTAAACAGATGTTGAGTTTTTTTGTTCTTAAGGAGAACAGTATGTTTGTGAGCTAACTTTTTACTTTGAACTCCTTTTGGTGACAGACATGAATGTGCTTACTTCAAATCTCAGTACAGTAAATGTGCGAGTATAATCTCCAATTATGAATCTTTAAACCCTCTTTAGCCCTTTAGGTTCAGAGTTGAAAATCTCAGTCAAGAGTATTTTGAGGCTGTGCTGACATGGAGCTAAAATGCCTTTCTAAGGTGAGACTCTATGTTGTTGACTTCTACTGGGAGCAAGAATGTCAGAGATTATAAGCAATCATAGCCCTCTATGCTGGTCTACTGGCGTCACAAAGTCTGACCAAGAATGCTCACCTCGACTAATGCTATCAATGAGAACAAACTATGCAGCATCAACTTATTATATAGAGTGAATTATTAATGCTGGAGCCAGCATGGTGAAGCAAAGTGAGCTTTTTAATTGAGGAAAGCGCATTTTTAGCAAGATTTTGTTAGATAGCAAAATGCATTCTGAGATATTTACAGAGATGGCAAATCTGTTTTGTTTTTATTAAAGTGGCACTTAATGCTCTCCACCTTTATAATATGCTTCAAAAATGCTCTTCCCTTGCTGTCAGAGTAATTATTGTGAGCAATAAAAGCTTATGAAATGAATGCTTATAAAGACTGTTATTCATTTTACATAAACAATGAGTTGTTTAGGGCTTTTTGAAGAATTTTACTTCTAATAAATCACTCTTTTTAATTATTTTTTTTATTATTGGTGCAATAGCTGGAAATAACTGGTGACATACATGACAAATGTAAATTCCCAAATCACTTAAATTACATGAAAGCACATTTTCCAAAGCCATGTTCTGTAGTTTATACAGCAGGAGGATATTTATTCATGATGGGAATTTGTTTTACCCTTCAGCTTACAAAAGGGATTTTATTAAAAAGTATTTCAAAGTATTATTTTCCAAACTAAGAAATGTAGTATAAACAACGTAACATGACATATATGTTAAATTATTTTGATGACACTACACCTGTCCTGGGTGAAGTTATTGAATATTTTTCTAGCATCTTTTTTTGGTGTTGCAATTTGCAAACGGTCCCTGCGCATTCTGGACACCGCCGGCTATGCGTAGAGGCCAATGCAAGTTCCCCAGCGCAGAGGACGACTCGTTTGGAGGATAATTCGGTTGTAGCTCGCAGTCTATATTGCTGCGATTGTAAAGAGGTGTCGGTTTTGTAAAAATAATGTTCCGCTGATCCGGGAAAGCCGAATCTGTGAATATCATTCTAACTTTCTGAATGACTTTCTGTCTACAAACCGGTTATACATGTTTTGTTCATATTGAAAGCTATAAATACAACATGCAATATCCACACTGCTCCACTCATTGTGGGCTTTGTATTAGTAACTGTTAATATATATATTTTTTTCTTTAAGTCACAGCGCTTGTTCATAGCATATTATTCGAGTCCAACCTGGTACTTATTGCTTATTTCATTGTTTAATTTATTATGTCTATTCTATTTCATTTTTACATTCTTAAATTATTTCTATAGACTACTTACTATTTCTGTATTGTGTATTAGAGCAACCGAAACAACCGAATTTCCCCTTGGGATTAATAAAGTATTTCTGATTCAGATTCAGAAGAGTCACACTGTCATCATCGTTACGGATTTTGACACCATTTATGCTCCACCCCTCCCACTGTCCCCTCTGCACTTTTTTGGAAAAGGAGAATAACAACGGGGAAATCGCTCTCCGGAGCATTTATCATAGAGATCAGGATACGTGAGCACTTCAAATGTAGGGGCGGCTGACTCGACCATTTAAAAGCGAGGAGCTGCTTGCTTGACAGCAGTCGTTGACAGGCAGGTGGGGCTACTTTGTCTACTTTCCGAAACGAGCGCTTCAGCATCCAATGACTCTGGTTCTACATCTTGGTACACAACAGGGACTTGTCGTTGAATGGTTGCCCCGGATGAGTGACCTTAACTTGAAAACGGAGTGAGTGGCCTAAAAAGTTGCTCTTTTTTGTTCTTAACCTATAGACTGTTAGGTTTTTTTACGAGGCATTTGGCGTATAAAAAATAAATATGAATACAAAAAAAGGCATTGTGACACACATTGGTATCTGTAGATACGTGTGATTATCTGAAAACATTTTGCTTATGGCCAATTAGCCTACACTAAACTCAGGGTAAAATAGATGCATTTAACTTTTTACCCAACTCTTATCATTTGGCCTAAGTTTTCTCAATGATAGCTGGTGTGCATCTGTGAGGTATACACATCATATTGTCAGGTATACAACATGTGCCCTATTTGATTGTAAATGAGGGGACCACTGCGCATACAGAAGTATCAAAACAGAAGTTTAGTATCCCAAAAATCCTTTCAATGTCTTCACAACCCTCATGTTATATTATATTAAAGATAAATGTAAGATCAATAATGTTGATCAGTTATGATGAAGACAGGGACAGATTATAAAAAGCTTCAGAATGACATAACATAAACTGTTTCTGAAAATGTGTCGTGAATAATAATAATAATAATAATAATAACAATAATAATAATAATAATAATAATAATAATAATAATAATAATAATAATAATAATAACTTAAGTGCAAAGACATTAAAAATTTAAACAAATAACGATCAATGATAGAATTTGTAAAATAAATTTGAGGTACATATTTTAAGTCATTGATTATTACTTCAATTGTAAAAATAAATAAATACAAATACAAATAAATACATCAAAATAAAAGTGCCCAGGATGCATAAAACATCATCAAAATAGGGCGTTGTTTAAAATATAAAATCCTAGGGGTGAACCCTCCAGACTCCCCTGATTTCTGCTCTAATCCCTGAAAAACCCATGACATTTAATTAGCACCTATAGTGATAAATTATAATCTGTATCAAATCATATAATCAACTTTCTGTTGGATTTATGTTAGATACTTTGAACTACCCTTAGACACGAGTTTGTTTTAAATGTTTATATTTTAATATTCCTTTAGCAATCATAATACTAGGCTAAAAAAAAGAAGCATAAAAGCATATTTCCTTTGACAATATCCCAAAAATGGTGATTCCAGGCGTGAATGTAGCCTATTGATTTATTTGGGCGCACACAGCACATTACATTAGGCTACGTTCCTCTGGACCAACCAATGAGCACAGCTCCTGCTCCATCTGCTGTAACGTTTCAGGCAGATCACCGCCAGCCAGGCAGTGTCTGGCAAAGCTGCTACTGGGGTGCATGGAGCATCACAACATTATATTTTTCATATCGTCCCGGTGTAGAACCAGGGGCTTGTAAAGTCAATGAAGTGAACAAAAGGAAAGAGCCAAGGCATTGAAGAATATGAACGAAGTGGGACCACCACGTCGACCCGCCGCCTCTCTTAATTTTACCATTGACAACATCCTCAATCTCAAAACAAGCGGGAGGAACTACGACCACTTTCAATCAGCCGCACAGCAGGATGATTCGACCAAGGCGATGGGAAAACAGGATTTTTACAGGACGCACGAGGTCAAGCGGAGGCAGGACCAGGGCAGTAGGCTTGAGGAATTCGGTAAGAGAGTTTGGTCTTAACAATTTGCGATCTACAAAGGCATCTCTTAGTTGTTAATTTTACGCACGAATGTCATCAGATCATCTCACAGGACAGGCTTCACTGAGATTTAACCCCAGTCGATTTAAAGAACTGCCATCTTGTTTGCAGAGTTTAACAAAGAGTGCAGCAGAGCAACAGAAACAGTCATCAGCCACGAAGACCCAAAGAAGGCGACGGAGGCGCACTTCGAGAGCGGGGACAGCAGCTGTGACGACAGCAGCTCCAACATCACGGCCACGGACCCCAGTAATGGGGGCATCCCTTTTAAAAAGAGCAAATTGCTTACAAGAAAGAAAACACGCACAATTTTTTCCAAGAGACAGATTTTCCAGTTGGAGTCTACTTTTGACATGAAACGCTATCTGACCTGCGCAGAGCGCGCATGCCTCGCCAATTCCCTCCAGCTCACAGAAACCCAGGTGAAAATATGGTTTCAGAACCGCAGGAATAAATTAAAAAGGCAGATCTCGACCGAAATTGACGGACCTGTTACTGATTTTCCCAAAACTGTAAAGTCTGTTGTAGTTGGTCAGCTCCCGGCCTTGTACAAAGAGGGCAACCTGCTGGGGAGATGCCTGCTGCCCTTGACTCTGCCCATTGTTTATGCCGGTAGTAGCACGCCTGACCTCTGCTACTCAAACGCCCACAAATACTTCAGCCTTTATGACGGGGACGTATGATGGTTTAGTATGTCCCCATGTGAAAAGAGACATTTTTTGGGTGGTTTCCTGCAAAAAAGGTTTTCATAATGATGGAAAACAGACGTTTCAAGGATGTCACAGCCAGAATTAAACTCTGATGGTGGCCTAAAAAGTTCCAACACTTCAATGTTTCACTGCGTATTTACTATTATTAGTAACTTAGTATTTACTATTATTATTATTATCATTATTATTATTATTATTTACAGCCATTACTACCACAGTTTAACTTAAGCATTTCCAATTACTTACGCCACCAAATAAAATACGATTGCCTATGGAATTTGCATGCATTTTCTATCATTATACATTTTTAATAACTGAAATGACAGACTATTTAAATTATGTAGCCTAATAAACCTTTTATTAATGCATGTATTTTTTCTGCTATTTGTACTTAGTCCAGTGACTACTGCTAATGTAATTAAAACCTATTCATTTGCTAAGTTATGTTGTAGAGCTGAATAATTTAAATGAAGCTCAGTCATTTCAGTCAGGAAGACTATAATTGCCTTCACGATCGGGTCTTTCTCATTCATCCCCTTTTTCATGCTCACTCATGTTTCCGCTGTCATTTTTCGAGCTGTCATTTTTGGGCTGTCGTTGGGTAATCAGCTGTCTCGTCAGTGGTCAAATCTAACCAATCGCATGGCGTTCCTCCCTATTTTTCAGCATGTCATCGTTCTTCCCCTTTTTTAGACATGATTCTTTATCTGCCTTAGTTCCTTCATGCGGATGTTTCCCCATCACCGCCCATCTTCGCAGATTCATCATCCATCAATTCTTCACCCATCCGGTCTCATAAAGTCATCAGCTTCACCACCACTGGTGTTTGGACTCCATGGGGGATTTATTCCGTTGACGCTAACAATTGTCATTCTCCAAACACATAATATTTCTGTCACATTTCCATGTTATTCAGTGTAATAAATCATTTTCTTAATCCACTTGTCTCTCCTGATTGAACTTTATGTGTTTCAAACAAATTACACAGATTTTCAGAAAATGAGGAAGATATGTTCAGTGACGATTCCATCCATTATTTTTAAAGTAGCTTTTTGTTTTTTTAATTATTGTTTGCAAATATAATTTTATCATGCTATTTTATCTATCATATTGAAAGTTTTTAGCTATCAAATCAGATCAAAGAATGCCTCTGGGTATAAAAACAAAGTTAAAGTGAAAAAATTAGTGGAGGAGGAAAGGAAACACTTGCATATAGGGGAATTTTTTACTGAAGGAATTGTTTATCTCCTTCCACAAACTTTGCCAAAAAGGTTCGTTATCAGCACATAAGCTCAAAGTCAGTTGACTTTGGAACATATTGACTTTTCTACAACACTTACCTTAATAGTAGGCACATGTAGAACACCATTATTAATTATATATACAAGTAGAGAGGCCTGTTAAATCCATCAGGCTGTCTGGTGTTTTAGAGTTGCCAGAGAAAGTCATAGAACGGTTTGGTAAGCATAATCCTTTTAGCAACAAACTCAGACATAACTGGAGACAAGTTACAAGGTTTTAATTTAATTTTTGTAATTTTACATACTCTATCAATCTCCGAGGGGAGAGTCTGTTTTACACTCTGTAATTGAGAGACATCCTTCTCACACACATTGGCCCAATGCACACACATGCTGGACCTATGGACATACATAATTGGAAAGATGTCATAGGCTTTAAGGGCACCTAGGCAGTACTTGGAAAGCGACTTATCACCTCTCCAGCTACCAGACCAACTTCCATACTTTGGTCCGCAACCAGACTTGTATCCTTGATCCTCCAATTCCCAACACAGTTCCCTACAGACTGAGCTACTGCCGTCCCCCCTTTTTTAAGGGTTGGCCTGATTAGACATTTTACTTAAGTGTGTTTAAATGACACAAAAATTGTAGATCATACTACATTCATGGAGACCATCACTTATGGGTTTTAGGACTGCAAATTATACACTAGATTTGTTTTTAATGTAAAGTAACACTTTAATGTATAAATTCACTTATTCATTGTCATTCTTGTTTTAAGGAGTGCTAATTGTTTCCACCAGTTTCTCTTTCATTCTTCTCTCATTCTTACAGTGCCTGCCTCCAACCTCTTGTCTTGATCATAGCTGATCATAGTAGCCTGTACACCTAAACACAACTGTACGTGTTTTTGACTGAAAAGAACTGAGGAGAAATGTGTCACAAAGAGAAACAGAATGGGAAGTCAGATGGTATGAACTGGATTTGAAGTGTCTGTTTGCAGTTGAAAAACTTTAGTGATGTTTGTATTTCTACATCTGTGCCTCTCTATAGCCAAGGTCCAACTGGTCAAGAGTCCTGTTCCTGGTTATTGGAGGGTGACATTGTGTTTTTGTGCACATAACGCCTGTAAATCTCTCTGCCAGCTTCATTCTACATTAATTAAAGGGGAGACCTCCCTCAGCTCACTTGTTACTTCAATCAATATGTATATAGCACCAATTACATAACAATTTAAGACACTCTTAAATTTAATTTAAGACACTTTACAAAAGAGAAGGTAGAAGACAATACTCATAGTTATATCATTGACAAAGACCCAACATTAATCCATCATGAGCACAGCACGAAGCAACATTTAGCAAAGTTACAGCGTTAAGGAAAAACTTCCTTTTAACAGGCAGAAACCTCGAGCAAAACCAGACTCATGTTGAACAGCCATCTGCCAAAACTGTGTTGGGCTTGGAAAGTGGGATAGAGGGAGATGCAAAAAGAAGAAGGACAAACAGCAACAACAACAATGAATGTAGCTACAATGTCAGTAATAATGGTCAGTGACATAGTCTAATATAATGTGAATGCACAGAGAGAGAGAGAGAGAGAGAAAAAGAGAGAGAGAGAGGAGCTCAAGGTACCAGCGGCCAAATGTATAAAAAAGACTGCACAGCTTCCATACTGAAAGATGCCGTAATCACAAAATTGGGAGAGAACTCACGCAATAAACTTTCAACATGAATGTTAATTTAAATCTGTAGTTTGTAGATATTTATTAGTCTTGCAAAATATAAATCTTAAACTTACTGTTGCTTTTATTTTCTCAGGTACTCCAGCAGCAAGTATCACATTTTAAAATAAACACCTGATTGGTAAACTAAATGCACGTCTCCAGCTCTCCTTGAACCTAAAAATGTGTTTTGTGTCAACACATTTGGAGCAGGGGTCTATCAGGACTTATATGGACTTTATATTTGTCTTTGGCACTGTGTCTGTTCACAGCAGCATAACTAGAAACTGGTCCATACCTGCACCAGCCCTCACTTTGCTTTATGAAAAAAGGAAAGTTTGAATCCTACTCTTAAAAGCACAGAGGATGTCTGACTACCATCCCCTGACTTGTAGATTATTTCAAAGGAGAGGGGCCTGAAGTCTCTACCCCTCATAGTAAATTTACTGTTATAATAAAAGTTGTTCCTTTTCCAAGTTCTGCACGAGCTGCAGCGTATTGGACCAGTTTCGTCTTTAGACACTTACTAGGACAGCCTGATAAAAGAGAATTACAATCCAACCTGGAGATCCAATAGAACTCCTGTATTTCTAACAATGGTGCTGGATGCCAAGCTGATGTCATCAAGGACAGTTATTTCATTAGAAAGTCTCCTCAGGGTCCTGGAGGTGTACAGGTCGTAGGGAGATGGTATATTGCAGCCAGTCACCCTCTCTGCAGAGCAGATGACCAGCTGCAGCCTGCATTTGTTCTTTGCTTTGGCTGCAGCATATTGGAATAACTTTAGTTGTGTTATATTGTTATATATAATCAAACATAATCCAGAATGTGATTATGTCACAGACCCATGATCTAGTCAATTCTGAAAGAAGAGTTTAATTCATAGAGGGGGCAGGGCATCATTGATTGACTGACAGACAGTCACCATGGTTACTCACTCTTACCTGCTTGCTGCACACAGAACGAGAGGGAAAAAAAGCTGCTGACTGACATTACTTCAAATAGCATGCTTGGAAATCAATGCATTTAAATAAATGATGGTTATTAGGCTATAAAGTATTAGCCTGTACGGGAAAAGAACGACACTGCAGCATCTTTGAATCTCATTTAAAAAACCTTTTCAAAGATTTGATCAAAGAATTTCCCCTTTAACTTTTGAAATGGCCTAAATAGCAAAATGCTGAGATGTGACAGAAATTAAAACAACTTGGGTGGATATTAGAAAAGAAGTGATGCTTATCATTTAATCCTTTAAAGGTGGCATCTAAAAAAAAAGATCATCACAAATATCCTTTCACACTCAAGAACTGTCTTGTCATGTTTTTGTCTGTTTTAGTTTTGTATTTCAAAGTTTACATCTTCTTGATTTAGTTTTTCTTATTCTTCCCTAGTGTTGCTTGTGTCCCTTGTGTTTCTTTAAATGTTTCCGACTTTAGTCTCTAGCGTTTCCTGTTTTATTTTGTGATTTGTTATCCTAGTGTTCTCTCTTTTCTAGTGTATTGTGAAATTCTTGAGTTCTCTGTGTCTTTAGTGTTTTGGATTGTAGTTCTTGTCCTCAGTATTTCTTGTCTTGTGTTCATTCATGTGTCTTGTTGGTCTCATCTGTGTCTGATTACCCCATGTCTATTTAGTCTCTGTGTGTAAGATCATTGTTGTTCGTTGTCAGTGTTGGATGTTGTTTGTCGTATGTCGGTCCATGACATGTCTAGCTCAAAATCCACAAAATGTTAAAACTCACACTGTACAAAGATACTCATCATTGTAGCCATTATCTGATGTTAACATTGGTGGGCTGGTGGAGTGAATGGAAACAGTTCCGGCTGTCCAATAACTATATAGAGAATAAACCTGGGAGAATAAGGGCAATTTTTGGAAAATATTTTGAAACGAGGAGTTGCATTATGCTGATAATAATGTAATAATCTATTTAAAACTTTCATCAGAAAAAAGCAAAACCTCACAATTGTTTAAGACTCAATACACATAGCTGTGTAATTACTTCACACTTAATTTGAAAATGGTTTGGCAGAGGGACCTCAGAGAAGAGACCAAATGTAATAGAATGTCTGAAGTTATGGCAGATTGTGGTAAATATGTGAT